GAGGTGTGTGTGTGTGTGTGTGTGTGTACTAAGTCCACAATAAGCACACCAGCCTGTGTGACCCAAGGATGATAAATAATAAAATCTACATCTGAAGGAGAGAATGCGATCAGTTTAAATTGTGAACACTCGATTTGCAGGGAAGACAGTGGAAGCCTAAAATCCATTTTCAGGAACCCGCACGGCTTAAGCTTCTAATGAATCTCCTCTGACCATAGTTGAGGGATGTGAGCAGCCTTGCTATCAGACAGAGAATATCGTCAACTCAATTATGGCAGGTGTCCCTAACTGAAAATGTGATACCAGATCAGTTGATCTCCCTTTTGACCCATTTTAAAGTTGTTCTAGTTTTAGTACTTCTTGCTTTTTTCTCAAGTTCATTTTGTTGTTGGTCTTGTGTGTGTGTGTGCGTGTTTCCTTTTTTTTTTAATGTTTTCCAGTATGGATCCTGGGATAGATGAAGCTATTGAGAAAGTAACTGAATTAGGGGATTATGAGGGGCACAGGTGTGGTGGTGGGAGTGGGAGGATTGAAAGGAAATAGAGAGCAAATAGCAAATACAAGAGAAAAGAAAATATTCTGAAGCTGATTGTGGTGATGACTGTACAACTCTTTTTAATAGGACTGAGCTATGGAAGTGCATGTGAGCCATATGTCAATAAAACTTTTTGTTTAAGCGTTATTGTCTCGGAAACTCATGGGGGCAGTTCTACTCTTTCCTGTAGTGCTGCTGTGAGTCAGAGCTGACGCAAAGGTAGTGAGTTGGAGTCTGCATATGTGTGCACAAACCTTGATAAAAGCAACAGAGAAGTAACGCTGCTCCAGCTCGGAGATGGATGTTGACAGGGAGGGTGGGAGTGATGGGAATGTGGGAAGCGTCAGCAGGAAAGACGACAGATGCAATGCGAGGGGAGCAGAAGACGAGGCGTAGATTAACCACACTCAAATCACTAACCAGTGTTGTAAAGCCAGGGGATGAGACTGAGGCGTGGTTTAATTATATTTTATGTACCTTGCATATGTATTTAATGTAAAACAACTATTAATGGGGATTGTACACACACACAAGACACTGATAGCTTTTGAAAGAAAAAGAGGGTGTTGGAAGGAAGGAAGGAAGGAAGGAAGGAAGGAAGGAAGGAAGGAAGGAAGGCAGGAAGGCAGGCAGGCAGAGCAGCAGCAGCAGCAGTAGCTGACACCGCAGCAGAGAGGATGCCACACCAAAAGGAGGTCTCTGCTTGATAATGCTGAGGGCAGAAACGCACAGGAGGAGCTAAACACAGTCACGCCCAATGACCTCTCTTGTTGTGTGCCACTGAGGAGATTCCAACTCACAGGGACTCGTGTGGCAGAGCAGACCCTCCCCAGGGCTTTCTCAGACAGGGCTGCTGGAGTGGTAGAAGCTGACCCCCTTTGGGTCAGCAGCTGAGTCATCAGCCACTGCCTCACATCTACCCCACGAATGGCTCAGGATGGAGAGTCATCCTAATCATGTGCTAAAAACAGAGGATGTACCTCTTTATCTGCTGCCTGTCCCCCAGTTTCTTCAAGTGACTTTTTAGCCATGGGGTTCCCATTGGCATGGCAGGAGATGCGGCCAGTAGAGCAAAAAGTAGCTCCCTCACACCCCACCCTCAACCCCCACAGCTGAGTATACAACAGAACAGCTGCTCTGAGTGAAAGCAGCCAGGATTAGGATGCAGAGGGGAAAAGGGAAGCCGAGAAGCACACACCAGAAGAGAGGCTTGCCCTCGGGCCCCATACTCACATTGTTGATCAGGTAGACGCCCCGGCCCCTAGAGGAGGCCACTGGTTTCACTATCCAAGGTCCCCGATCCTTTGAATAGGAATCTGCTCAAAACATGGGGGGGTTAAAAAAAAGGGGGGGGGGTAGAAGAGGAATGACAAGGAGAAAAAAGGACACGGGCTTATTACCTTAAATTTCTATATGGCTATGTCATCAGCTTCCCACAGAATTCCCCACATTCCTCGGGGAAGAGCTCAAACCCAACCCAGCCCACCGGTGAGGAGTCAATTCCCACTCAGGGCAGGCCTCGCAGGCCAGGGGGCAGAAGGGTCCTGCAGTTTCCAAAGCTGTGAGTCTTTACGGAAGCAGACTGCCTCACCGTCCCCTGTGGAGCCCCTGGTGAGTTCAGACTGGTCAGTGAGCAGCCTAATGCCTAACCCACGGAGTCACCAGGCCTCCCACTGAAGACTGCAGCTTTGAGAATCCTTACACCAAAAGGATCACGCCTACGCACGTGCCTTCTCCCACCATTCCC